GGGCCTGTTTCTGCCCTTGCTTTCCCGGCCTCCCTGAAACACTGCCTTCGTTAGCTCTTGGTACTCGAGACAGCTCTAACTTCAAGTATACCGTCAGAAGCAAAGTCATCTTTGTTTTAATTCTCCTGTGGTTCCCTTTCTTTAACTACTGTTCCCTAAGGATGTTTGTCTAACTTGTCTGCACTCAAGTTTATCATATGCTTCATGTAAGTAATAAATGATATAAACATTACATAAAAGACATTAAGCAAAACCCACTCATCCCCTTAAAAAGGTGAGAGAGAAGGCCAGTTGAGGCTAATGACCGTCATGGCGTGGCCAAATAACACAATCTTAGAAAACAAGACCGTAGGTAATTAGTGGACCTTTTGACCACTGACCTCCTTGCTTTGCAGGTGTGTACCACACTGGGCTTCAAGGGCTTTCAAGCGTTACAAACAGGGATTCGTAAATAAAGTGATTTGGGATTCCCTTCTCTTGGGCATTCTTCTGTTGTGAAACCATTTGTCTAGGAGAAGGTTGAGTTTTTAATCCACTTACTTTATTGGAGCTGGTTTTATACCATGGCCACCCATTTGACTTCCTTCACAGTTGACTCTCTGAGAGCCAGAGGACTCAGTCTGGATTCTCAGTGGAAGAATACTATCTGATGTCTCCAAATGTCTGGCACTGTGGTTCCCCTGAAAGAGTGGGGAGGGCATGTGTGGGGAGGGGAGAAGGCAGGGCTGAGGCCAATCCAGCGAGATGAATGCTTTCTTAGGCTGCTGCCCTCGACTTCTTAAAAAGAGATCTGCCCCTGGGATCTGGTGAGGGGAGAGGAAACTCTCCCTTCAGTTGGCTGGTCAGAAACATGCCGTCCATAGAGAGAGGCTGTATCACCATTTACTTGAAGTGGGGACGGTTAGGAGGAAGGAGAATCTGTGAAGTAGTTTGCCTTTTTTTCCTTCTTCCACCCATGGATACAGAATGAGCAGATATTTTGGGATATAAATTCTTGGCTATCTTTGGATAACAAAAGAATAAATAGGGTTTCACACAATCCAAAAACGGCTTCTGTGGTTAGTGAAAATCGTCGTTGCTTGAGTGATGGAAAATGTTTCAGGAGTAGGCAGTGTTCAAGCTGTCAATCAGCCAGGCTCTGGCAACCCCCAAGAAGTGTGCAGCTCTGGAGTAAATAAATATTTGAGAACATAAATAAACGACTAATTCCTGGGTCTGGCTTGGTGGCGCAGTGGTTAAGTTCTTGCACTCCACTTCCGAGGCCTGCGGTTCGCCAGTTTGGATCCTGGGCATGGACCTATGCACCGCTTGTCAAGCCATGCTGTGGCAGGCGTCCCACATATAAAGTAGAGGAAGATGGGCACAGATGTTAGCTCAGGGCCAGTCTTCCTCAGCAAAAAGAGGAGGATTGGCAGTAGATGTTAGCTCAGGGATAATCTTCCTCAAAAAAAGGACTAATTCCTGCCCTAAAGGCACATATACATTCAAATAAAGTCTACTTTAAACAACTGCTCTACAAAATGTTATTTCCAGGGCTGGCCCCGTGGCCGAGTGGTTAAGTTCCCGTGCTCCGCTGCAGGCAGCCCAGTATTTCGTTGGTTCGAATCCTGGGCACAGACATGGCACTGCTTATCAAACCACACTGAGGCAGCGTCCCACATGCCACAACTAGAAGGACCCACAATGAAGAATATTACAACTATGTACTGGGGGGCTGTGAGGAGAAAAAGGAAAAAATAAAATCTTTAAAAAAAAATGTTATTTCCTATTTAGATAGTAGCCTCTATCAAAAGCTTTGTATTGGTTTAAGTAACTTAGGTTAAATATGGAAACATCTCTTCAACATTTTCATGTCTTTATCTGTGTAACCCCTTATTAGAAATATCAATTTGGCTCAATATTTATGCTTTCTGCTAAACTGAAGTGCATACCGGTCTCCAGAACATGAGAGATAGGCAGGGATTCCTAAAACAGTCGACAGCAACCATGGGAGGCCAGGCTGAGTAGACCACACTGCTCAGTGAGGAGCGACCTCTAGGACCCAGAGAGCCAGCAGCCCCAGATTCTGTTCTCCAGCCCCCCAGATGCCCTTGCTTACTGACCAAGAAAACTTTTTTAGTTTGCAGATTTTGGCTGAAGGTGGGGAGTGGGTATGAGAGGCTGAAGTTTTTGCTTTATTTAAATGACAACAACAAAGTTCAATGAAATAATGCCCCTTATGGTTGAAGAACTAAGTTTCCACTTAGGCATAATTTGAATTTACCTAATTTACCCTCTTTCAAAAGACACAAAACATTTCACCTTATTATTCCTTTTTAGGATTATAAAGTAGAGCAGGGGAAAAAATAAACCACTAATAAAGGATAATAGCAATTTGGCAGGCAGGTGTTCTTAGTTTCATCAAAAGAATGCCTGATAAATTCAGTCTTTTTTGAATACTAAAGAATGTCTTTTAAAAAGTTAGAATAGATCCTTTGGGTGCTTACTGAAGTGGATTATTATATTAGAGTCTGGATTCAGATTCTAAGTAAAGCTGATGAATACACATAATTATATCCCATCTGCCTTAGACCAGGTTATTCATTTTCTTCAGAATTGAACTGGAATCCATCTCTTTCTACCTTGTCTAATCTCACCTGACGGGGAGTGATAAGGGCCTGGAGGAATGAGCCAGTTTGAAGTCACCCTCATCAACATCTGTCTTATTTTTTCAGCAATAGTAAAAAAAAAAAAAACCCACACAAATTAGTTTCATATTTTATTCAATCAAGATAGCCAAAATACTCTTTCAACATGGAATCAATATTTTAAAATTATTAATGAGATATTTGCGTGCTTTTTTCCCACTAAGGCTTCTAAATTTGCTGTGTATTTTATACTCATAGCACATCTCAGTTTGAATTAGCCCCAGTCCAAAGTGCTCACCAGCCCACCGTGGCTTGTAGCTACCATATTAGACAGCACAGTGTTAACGCCATGCGTGTAAGGAGGCAGCTGGAGTGGGGCTGGCGTAGCAAAGCAGGAAGCCTTTACCTGTCAAACCAGAGACTGAGCTTTACCCTGGAGGCTATGGGAGCCATAGAAGGATCTTAAACAGAGAAGTGTTATTTTTAATTTTGAACTTAATTTGGCGGTCTCATTAGAGATTGAGGAGTAGGGGCTCAAGCAAGAAGCATGTTAGAAGGGCTGCAGTGATAAGCCCAGTGAGGAGTGGTAAGAACCCGAACTAAAACCCCAGGGACCATGGACCAAAGGAAGTGTGTGAGTGAGACGTAGGAGGTAAAATGGTCAGAACTTGGTGTTGACTACTGGATTTGAAGAGAGGGAGAGGGAGTAAGGGAGTAGGATGGTTATCGGGTTTCTGCCTTGGGTAGCTGAGCCAATAGTAGTCGTGCTCACTGAGATGGAGGCAGGGCAGGTTGTAAGGGGAGATGAGTTTGGCATGGGGCGTACTGACTTTGAGATGCCTTTGCAACAGGCAGGTAGCTCTGTCTAGTTTGACATGGAAGAGTTTACTCAACAGAATGTGTAGAGTTAGAAGCTAGAAAGGCTGGGTAGGAACACTCAACACTTAAGGTGCCAGTGAAAACTTGAGGCAGTAACAAGAAGGGGATGTAAGGCTGAGGTAGTCAAGGACAGCTTTATAGGAAAAGTGGGATTTAAGCAGAGTCTTAAAGAATGGGTAAGATTTAGAAAGCCAAAGAAGGTAGAAGAGACAGCAGAAACATAGAGAGGTGAGGACATAGCAGACATGTTTAAGCGACACTGTGAGTAAATCTGTCCTGCTAGGCCAGATGGCATTAGGCTGAGATCAGAGCCGGCCTAATGCAGTTTGCAGGCATGCTATGATTGGCTTGCATGGGGTTGGATCATGCAGTGTTCCACATTTAAGTGAGGCGCCAACATTTCCACAGGGAAATCCAGATTTCTGACTTCTCCTTAAAATAAAAGGGAGGCTGGGAGGTAGACTTGGCAACACCAGTGGCCCTATATGGTAATAATCAACTGAAGGGTATGCTCCCTCTCTCCAGTAAGTCTGTTTTATTCCTTTATGCTATTTGCCTGGGTCCTTTAGACATTTGAGTTTGCTACTAGAGTCAAGGATCAGTAGGTAATAAAGGTACAAAGATAGACTAGTGACAGATTATGGAGGGCTTTTAATATCAAACTAAGGAATATAAATGTAGCCAATGGGCAACTGATGAATAATTGATGAGATTAAAGCAGTATTTAGGATTGATGAGATTAAAGCAGTATTTAGGAGGATTATTCTGGACCAGAGTGAGAATACAGATCTTAGGGAGAACAGTTACCAGTTTTGAAAGGGAAAAGATAGATACTATGGTGTTGGCATATCGAAATGGGCTTAAACATGGGGAATGGAAGTCTCAAGGAGATGTCATACAGAAAGGCTGCTAGTGCCACGTGGGAAACATCTGGGCCACTGAGCTTGCTGGGAAATTGGCTTTGCAGGCTTCCAGAATGCAGGCCAGTGTTTGGTGTCGGGGGCAGTGAGTCTGACTGTTTGAAACAACCGTTTGTTTTTGTTATAACATCTCATTGATTTCAGAGAAAGCCGTGGGAGTACAGACATGCTTTTTCTCCTTGCCATCAGCACAGATAAGTGATCACTGAGAACATGGAACTGCTAAGAAAGGCGTGGCAAACCGTGACCGCAGGGCTGTGGGAGCAAAGCTCATGTCAGACAGCTGGTGCTGAGCTGCCTGTTTTGTCATCCGATATAACATCTGCCTGGTCACGTTGCCTTCAAAACCTTATCTTATACAAATTCCTATTTCTTTTATGCAAGCTAAGTCATGTTAGCTTTTCTTCATATGCTCTTCTGAAAAATTATCACAGGAAATTTTATAAATATTTGAATTTGGAAGGGAGTGAGAGTCCACAGCATTGTAGAGACACAAAGGCATTTGTACAGTCTCAAAACTTGTCAAGTTTCCCACCATATTTAGTAGAGTGGCTCCTTTCTCTTTGGTCTACAGATGAAACATGTCAATGAAAGATTTGAAAATGGAAAAAACAAAGAGGTGGTTCTCATGTGCATCGGCATCACTTCAGGAGTTGGACGGCTGCTCTTCGGCCGGATTGCAGACTATGTGCCTGGCGTGAAGAAAGTTTACCTACAGGTACTGTCGTAAGCCTTTTTTCCCCAGAAAAATTATCCTTATTGCCTAAGGCTCTATAAATTCTTCCATAAAAAATGAGAACTATTTTCTAGAACCTAACTTCTATAAGCACATTTTTCAAGGGCAAAATCAGTTACGGGTTTTGGGTTTTCAACATGAGAAATTGGTGATCAAACAACAATCTTCTCTGTTTTGTCATAGAACTCCACCAAACCAAAATGTTTTTTGCCCATTGCTTTTTCTAAGAGGAATGTTTTATTTTTGGCATAGTTCTCATAGTCATGTGCCTTTTTCAATATCTTGTGAAATTCGAGGGGGTGTGTATCTTTTGAACTTCTTTATTGCAAATTGCCTCCTGGGTGTTGTGAGGTGTGCACTAAACAAATGCCAATTCCAAGAGCATATTGACACTCATTAGACAAGTATTTAAGTGACTCCTCCATGCCAGACAGTGTGCTAAATGCTGCAGATAAAACAGGATCTGTGCCCTCAGTAGTTAATGGTCTCATGGGGAGACAGATAAAACAGTGTTGCAGCACATGGAATGATGGGTATCTAGATGGGCGCCATAGAAACATAGGCGCCAAGCATCTGAATCACTAGTGAGGGTCTGAGCAGGCTTCCTGAGCTGGTGGGGTGTTAAGAGGTAAGCAGTAGTTAGATAGATAAGGAAGACAGAGAAGGGTGTCCCAAGCAGAGGAAACCACACTGGCAAAGAGACAGAGGTGCAACATCGTATGTTATATCTTGGAAACTGAATGCTTGAGCAGAATAAAAAGAGAATAGGTTGATTGGCTGGGGTGGGTAGGCAGGAGCCAGGTTGGGAATGGCCTTTAAGAGCACAAAAGAGGATGAACTCTATCCTGAAATCTACCAGGAGCCATTAAAGGATTTTAAGCAAGAGAGCGACATGACATGGGTTGTATCTTATAAAGCTTAATCCAGTAACTGTGAAGGGTAGAATGAAGTGGAGGAGGAGGCAAGAGGTGAGATAATCACAAAAGGCCACATATCGTATGGTTCCAATTCTATGAAATGTCCAGAATAGGCAGCTCCATAGAGACAGAAAGTAGATTAGTGGTTGCAAGGAGCCAAGGGAGGAGGGAATGGGGAGTAACTGCTGCTGGGTATGGGGTTTCTTTTTGGGGTGATATAAATATTCTAAAATTAGACATTAATGATGGTTGTACAGCCTTGTTAATGAACTAAAACTCACTGAATTTTTCACTTTAAATGGATGAATTTTATGGTATGTGAATTTATAGCTTAATAAAGCTGTTTAAAAAAAAGAGAGAGAGGAGGCAGAGAGACTAGTTGGAGACTATTGAAGTAGTCTAGGCAGGAAGAACCAAGGCAGAGATACTAGTATCAAACAGGGAGTGAAGCAGGGATACAGGGAATGAGAGTTTGCTGGAGCCACCTGAGCTGGGGTGAGATTTGTGGCTCGGGTAACAGAGTGGATGGTTTTACTGTTTTATCAAAATCAGTAATACAGTAAAATCAAAGTAAGATGATGAGTTCATTTTGCCATGTTAAGTTTGTGGTGCTTGTGGGAAAGCCAGGTTGAGTTCGAAGGTCATGAAAGCATCTGGATAAGAGACCTGTGGGACTTTAGCATTCCTGGGCTGTAGGGGGTGAGTGGAGGGCCAGGGGTGTGCAAGGGAGACTGAAAGGGAGCGGCCAGATTGGTAGGAAAAAGCAAGGCATTGCGTGTTTTCAGGCGCAGGAATGGTCAGCAGTGTCACTAGCTAGTAAGAGGGCTGGCACGTTACAGGCTTAAAGGTTTTCATTGGATTTAGCCACGGAGAGTAGTTTCAGTGGAGTGGCAGCTGCAAAAGACTGATCATGATCAGTTGAATAAGTGGAAATAAGGACAACTTTTCCCAAAAGCTTGGCTGTGGAAGGAAGGTAAAGGAGAGCCAAAAGGGGGACTTGGGATTGGGGACTGAGTGTGTCTGCTCACAGTATAGATGAGAGGCAGTATTTGAACAGGGTCTGGAAGGAGAGGTGGAATTCGGGCACAGGAAAATGATTAAAACAGGCATTTATTGCAGGTAAAGTAACTTCCGTCAATTGATTTGAAGTAATACCAGCCACCATTTATTGAGCACTTCTACCGGCCAGACGATGAACTAAGTGCTCCCCATGCATCATCTCCTCTACTCCTCACCCCGGCCCTTTGAGGAAGGTACCATCATTCTGTCCTCTTAGAGTTGTGAACCTGGAGGAACAGAGAGGCCACCTCACTGTGGGTCTGTGTGTGTACAGGTCCAGGCAGACAGCCTCGGGAAGCAGTCTACACAGCTAGAAGGAAGTGTAGGCAGCTGGTAGAGTGCTACTTTTTAAAGTATTTCCTGTACTATGATCATTCCCCCTTCTGTTAATACTTGTGGATTTCCTTGTGGAACATTTAGCAGAACATTTGGTCTTGTTCTTAAGTGTCAAGGGAGCCCTCTAATGGACGTTTGTTGCATTATGGACTTTGGGCTTCCTCTCATTTATTCAAAAAATTCTGAGTGCCTACTATGCCCAGAGCACCAGCCTAGACCCTGGCGGGGGTGATACAAACAAGACAGACATGGTCCCTGAGTTCCTGGAGCAAGACTCGAGGCAGGAAAAAGCTAGGCATGTTTGGGAAATCAAGAAGACAGGAGAGTGGCATGGGAAGAGGTTGGAAAGTTAGGAGGGGCCAGATTATACAGGGCTTTGAAAGCCAAGATGCAGAGAGATTACTTTAGGTGTAACGGGTCTTTGAGGGAGAATGATGCAGTCTGAGTTTACATTTTAAAGTCATTGTGGTTGCTGTGTGTGTGGAGGATGGATTACTGAGAGGGAAGCAAGAGTGCAAGAGGGGAGGAAGACCATTAGGAGGTCAGTGCAGTAGTCCAGGTGAGAGGATGGAAGTCTAGCCTAAGGATGAAGTCGTGATATATTTTATACATCAACATTTTACTCCAAAACAACTTTTGAAAGTTTTCCTCACTACAGGTGGGGCATTCAGGTCATTTATAACATTTTTGGGTCACATTTTAATACATATTTTGTGTAATTTACAAAAGAAAGTATAGCCTTTCCTAATATGTCCCATGTTTGGTAGGCAGTTACACAGCAGTCAGTTGGAAGTCGGTAATTTCATTTTGGATGAAAGGTTAGCTTCAACCTGGCTTCGTTTAGGTCTTAGCTGGTTTTTTTCATCCAAATGTGGTGCAGTTTTTGTGGCAGCCAATAGCTGATGCTGAGTCACAGGTGAGATGACTCATTTCAGAGAGGCCTGTGAAGGGGAAAGAGGCCTTCAGTGTGTCCTGTGGCTGCTGGGAGCCACCAACTGTGCTCCATCTAGTGAACACAGTGGCTCAGGAGCCCATGAAGCCCAACCCATGGGAGCTCCTGGACTTGCTCCTTGAATCACTCTCTTCTTCTTCTCCCTGCCCTCCCTCTCTCCCTCCTTTTTCCTCGCTCCCCTGCCCCAACTCCCAAACATTCAGTGTGCTTTTGATTCTTGGCTCTTTCTTCTCTGCTGCGACCAACTCCAGCTCTGCCTGTTTGCTCATTCCTCTTTCTCTCTCCCTCCCTGGCTGGCTGCCTTTGGGCCCAGCCTTTAAGGGTTGGAATCCTGCTGCTTACCTTTCTCTCCTTCCTTTCATTGGTGGTATGTTTTCTCAGATATAACCACTTCCCTGCTTTCATCTGTTATAGCCCAACCTCATGGGGCTGTGACAGTTGTCTCCACTCCTTGTCCTCTTGAAGCCGCTTCTGAGTAGCAGCCAGGTACAGAAACACTCATGGCCTCCCACGTGGTCTCTTTTCTGGTCACAGTCATCTTGGGTTTGGGAGCCTGCAGAGCAGAAGAGCACAGGCTCTGGAGTGAGACATGAGTTCACCCTAGTCCTGCCATCAACTTGTCTCCAGAACCAACAGAGGGCTGTGGTGGGGATTCATGGTGACAGCTTATGTACAGTGCTGGCTGAGAGTGGATGACTGATGAGTCCTTGCTTTTATGTTTTAATATTCTATTAAATACTGAGGCAGATCCAGATTTACAACAGTGCTCAAGAAAGCAGACCTTGGTTATCCGGAACTAGAGATCTTTCCTTGTAGGTAACAAAGAGTTTAGGAGTATATCTCACACTTTGGCTTAAGAGTTCTCAATTTAAACTTACATCAAGGGCTGGATTCCAGGTATTTTTAGCCTAACAATTTTAAATGCTGAGCAAAGAGATAACGAACTGCATTAAATAGAATAAACAATGGTTAAAAAAATCTTTGCAAAGGTCCCCAGAGTGTGTACTTTATTGGGAGAGGAAAGGCTGTGTCCCGTATCTTCTTACCACCTTTCTTAACTTGAGGCTTGTCTTTCTAGTCACCGTTAAATTACTACAGTTTTGTGTCTTTAATATATAACTGTTTCAGAAGTGTGAGAGTGTTTCAAAGGTTTGAAAGTTATAGGTCCATAATCAAAGTATTGAGAACTGTGGATTTAGATCATTTCCCATTGTGTCGTATTTCTCTGTGACATGGACATTGAGGTGTGGACATCATATCCATGGATGTAAAGCAGACAAACCTAGATAATGTGTGTGTGCACAGGGAAGGTTTAGGAGGATGCAAACCACATCGCTTGGTTGTTCCTGACCAGGAAAGTGGGCCTGAGTTGAGGGTGGGAGGGGGTTGAAGGGAGACTTTCATATATTACTGTGTACGTTTTTCTAAGGTTTGAATTTTGTAAAGAATATATTCATGAGTTACTTTTGTAATTTAGAAGTTTTTTTTGTAACTGAGAAAAATGAATCACTTTTCTATCTGTCTTCCTGTGTAAGCTTCCTCTTCTGGCTGAGGTAGAATGAAGTGATAGTGTCGCCCAGGTTTTTTTCATTCCATTTTTAGCATTTTACACTTTCCTAAAGATGCCTTGGGATAAAGGTATATGCTTTGCTAAACGTAAGCTATTTCCAAAGTGGTATCCAAGCACTTAGCCAGTCCCCAGCCTGAACAAGGAATGA